TGAGTAGGGTACGAGCAGTTTCAATAAGATGTCTATTCTTTCCTTCAGCTACCCCATTTTGTTTAGATGTGTACGGACAACATGTTTGATGAATAATCCCATGAGATTTCATAAAATGTTGAAATGGGAAGTCAAATACTCTCGGGCATTATCACTACGAAATGTGCGAATAGAAACCCCAAATTGATTTTGAATTTCAGCGTGGAAGGTCTGGAAAATAGAAAACAGCTCAGATCGATTTTTTATCAAAAATATCCAAGTGCACATGGAATAATCATCAATGAAACTGACAATATAGCGGAATCCCAAGGTGGAAATGACCCGACTAGGACCCCAAGCATCTGAATGGACTAAAGTAAACGCAAGACGCCGAGTGAAATGGGAGCGAGTATGCTTACCGAGCTGACATGACTCACACTCTAGAGCTGACAAATGAGATAAACCAGATACCATTTTCTGAAGTTTTGACAAACTGGGATGTCCCAACCGTTTATGTAATAAATCTGGTGAATCAGTAATAGGACAAGTTGTAGAAGGAAGACAAGATGTGAGTCCATGTGATTTAGCAAGGATAAGGTAATAAAGTCCGTTTGATTCACGCCCGGTACCAATGATCCGCCCCGTACTGCGTTCCTGTATAAAAACATGGTCATCAAGAAATAAAACAGCGCATTTAAATGATTTGGCTAAGCGACTAACAGCTATGAGATTAAAAGGACTATTGGGAACATAAAGGACTGAATCTAAAGGTAAGGAAGGAATTGGACTTGCTTGACCTATTGTTGTTACCATGGTTTGAGACCCATTGGCCATTGTGACTTTTGGAAGAGATTGAGAATACGAAATAGTAGTGAAAAGAGATTTGTTACCAGAAATATGATCTGATGCACTTGAATCAATGACCCAAGACTCAGAGGATGAAGATTGTGAGAAACAAGTCACATTATTACATGTTTGAACAACAGAAGCTATATCAGAAGATGTCTGCTTACATGCTTTGTACTGAAGGAACTCAATATAATATGCTAAAGAAACCATCCGACTATTCAAAACATCGGTTCCCATGTCGCTACGAGATGTCTGCTTACATACTTTGTAAAGGAACTCGATATAATCTGCTAAAGAAACCATCCGACTATTCAAAGCATCAGTTCCCATGTCGCTACAATTTGTAGTAGTAGGGTTAACTTGAAATAGTGGAAATAAGTAACTCCTGTGAGAAAACTGAAGAAGTAGCTTGAAAAACACTGTTTACAGCAGGAAAACTGAACATTGTTCTGCGCCGGAAACACTATTCACGCTGAAAACACTGTAGCTCGCCGGAATCTACTGTAGCTGCTGAAAAACTCAAAGTGGTCGGAATGAAACAAAACCAGTGAGGGTAGAATCGGAATTACCAGGCGATTCTACTGTTCAACTGGAACTTTTTCAAAATCAAGCCGGAACAGTGCTCACGCGCCGGCGCGTGGACGTGTGTTTTCCGGTGGGGTTGACTGGGGTTTGGTCGCCGGAGCCAAGGAGTCTTGTGGTGGTGTTTGTTTTTGCACAACACCAACAGAAAGTGATTTGCTTACGGACAGCCTTCTAAGTCGCCGGAAAATTGCACGGCGAAGAGGTCTTTCTTCCCGGAAGTCGTTGGAATGATGCACATCGACAGGTTTCTCACTAATGTTTTGATACCATGTGAGAAGGCACAGGAGAAAATATGTTATTGATATTGAATGATAAATACAATAAAAGAGGTCCATATTTATAGCTATACACTACAAGGAGATAGTACTCCTCTTCCAATGTGGGACAAGACTACACTATACATATCTGTAAACTAACAACGTTGTTTGAAGTGATTTGAGGCCTTGAGCAAGTTTGTGTTATGTTATGGGGCTGGTTGGTGTGATTGGACGGGGTCCCGGGGGCCTCGGGTGTGATTCGGAGTGGTTTCGGACCAATTCTGGCTGTTTTAGCTATTGCTGTTGCTGGTTCTGGTTTTGTCCTTTGCGAACGCGAAGGGAGTCCCGCGTTCGCGAAGAAGGGTTTTTGTGCGGATGATTTTTGTTCATCGTGAATGCGACACAGGGGTAGCGAACGCAGAGAAGGGCCTGAGGAACCTACGCGAAGGGGCTATCGCGAACGCGTAGAAGGAAAGGGGGAGCTGGGCCTGGAGCAGGTTGGCCTTCGCGAACGCAGCTCTTGGACCGCGAACGCGAAGGGGCAGGGGTCTGAGGCTTAGCGAACGCGGCATAGGTGACGCGAACGCAAAGAGGAATTTTGAGGCAGTGGCATTTGGCCTTCGCGAACGCGAAGAAGGGTCGCATGGGTAGTGTATAAGTTTGCCAAAACGGGTTTTGGCTCATTTTATCTCAATCTTCTATGGGAGCCGAGCTAGGGGCGATTTTGGAGGAGCTTCTTCGTCACCCATCACAAGGTAAGTGATTTCCACCTATTACAAGTTAAATACTTGGTTTATATATGGATTTAAACATGAAAATTGGTGAAAATTGTGAGATTTTGAAGAAAACCTAGAAATTTGTAATTTTGAATTTTGACCACGAAATAGGACATGGAATTCGGAATAAATTATATATTTGAGTTAGTAATGTTATGGGTAATGTTTATCTTCGAAAATTTTCGGAATTCGGGCACATGGGCCCGAGGGTCGGCTTTATCGATTTTTCGAACGGAGTTGAAAATAGTTATAATTTGATTTATCATGAGTATTAGAGTATATATTTATGGATTTGCACATTGATTGATTAGTTTTGGAGCGACAGGCACCGGTTTGAGGTGTTAGAGCGGCGTTGGAGCCGGTTATGGAACTTCGAAGCGAGGTAAGTCTCATGTCTAACTCTGTGAGGGGGGAAACTACCCCCGAGGTGTTGTAATTGATATGTGCTACTTGTTGCGGGGGGCTACGTACGCACGAGATGACGAGAGTCCGTACGTAGCTACATTCATATTATTGTCCGGGTAGACTCAGGTTCACGCCATGCTATAACTGTACTATTTGGGTTATCACTTGCTTATTAAATTCTTTTACTTCGCATTACTACTTGTAACTAGACAGACGTAAAGTGATAGACTTGCTATTGTAGAGATTTGACGAGTTTCATGATTAGCCGCGGAATAATTGTACTCCTCTTGCGAATTTCTCCTGCGTTATGCGTTCTCATCGAAAAGTTTCCTCAAAGCTCCTTATAACTCACATGTTCCTTCGTGAGTGGGATCAAGGACCCGTCAAAGCTTCTTATTCTAATGGGATCGGGCCGTTCGCCTCGACGGGATTATGTACCACACTCTCATGGGAGCGGGTCGTTCGCCTCGGCAGTATGACATATGTATCTATGGTTCGTGTCGTTCGACCCTCGGCAGTGCACAGATTATGATGGGATTGGGCCGTACGCCTCGACATTTCTATAAAATACTCTAATGGAAATCGTGTAATATTTGACAAGAAGTCGGTGTATTCATGAGTCTTACAACAACAACAACAACCCAGTATAATCCCACTAGTGGGGTCTAGGAGGGTAGTGTGTACGCAGACCTTACCCCTACCCTGGGGTAGAAAGGCTGTTTCCGATAGACCCTCGGCTCCCTCCCTCCAAGAACTCCCCACCTTGCTCTTGGGGTGACTCGAACTCACAACCTCTTGGTTGGAAGTGGAGGGTGCTCACCACTAGAGCAACTCACTCTTGTCGTATTCATGAGTCTTCCTGATTTGAATTATAACGACCAATCTGGTGAGGTCCATTATATATATATATGCTTCAGTTGAGGAGGTAATTGCTAATTGAGAGCTTGAGTCTATTGTAGAGAGGAGGACAGTATCACGTATTTACACTTGTTTAACTTCGTTTATTTACTCCGCCCCATATCTGTTTACTCCTTACTATATTTGTCTTATTGGACCACTAGTAAGTGTCGATGTCGACCCCTCGTCACTACTTCTCTGGGGTTAGGCTAGATACTTACTGGGTACGCGTTGATTTACGTACTCATGCTACACTTGCTGCACATTTTTAAGCAGGTACATATATGTCTGGTGATCTTTTGGACGTAGAGGCGCGGCTATTGCGGGGACTTACCATGAGCTGCATTTCATGTTACGATCCGCAGCCTGCAGAGCCTCCATCAGAGTTATTTGTATTCTCATGTCTAATTTGTATCTCAGACAGATGTTGTATTTTATTTCATTTCCTAGTTGATGCTCATGCACTTGTGACACCGGATTTTGGGGTGCTTATGGGTTGTCCTTTATTGTAGTTGTGAAAACATTATCAGTAACCCTGTAAATTCTATTTCTTATTATTTAATTGATGAAAATTATGATTTCAAAAATACTAAGATGAGTAATTAAGTTAAAGATTCATTGTTGGCTTGCCTGACGGCGATGTTAGGCGCCATCACGACCTCTAGTGGATTTTGGGTCGTGACAGTATTAGCATCTACTATACCTGCAATGCATGCATGGGTTCTCTTTTAATATAATACTTAAAAGATTTAGATTCAGATAATAGGCAATAAGTTAAAATTAGACATGATGGACACTGCTTCAAACAAGATGTACAATTAGCTTGTAAACCATAACAAAAACAGGAGATCTTGTTACCTTCTCAAGAGCAAGGGCTCGGGTCAAGTCTTGTTTGAACCCATCATTGATTACTGCCTTGTACTTCAAAACCAGGTCGTGGTTGTTCTTGATGATGGCTTCTGCTATTTGCCTAGCTTTCTTCAAAAGTTCACTTCTGTCTACAACATAATTTACCAAACCCCATCTCTCAGCTTGTTCTGCGCTGAGAGGCATTGCAGTTAAAGATGCTTCACGAGCTCGGCTGGGTCCAATAACACGAGAGAGTTTCTGAGATAGACCCCAAGAAGGAAATATCCCAAACCTGCATCACAAAAGCAACGACACTCTTGTCAGAAAATCATCTAGAAACACATATGAAGTTTAACATTAATATCACAGAACTTGTATATAGATTGGGTTCAAGTGTTTAAGTAGCTTAAAACTCAAGTAGAACAACTGAAAATACCATGAACACTTATAACTTTAGGTATATCAGGTTTTTCAAGGGGTTGATAGCCTCAATTAACTTGTGACTCAGACGCTGACGGGAACTCTCTGTATTCAATAGAATTTTCAGCTTAGAATTTATACAGCTAAGGACTTTGTCTCATTTTAATAGCGGCTTACATGGGGCTAAAGTCCACAGGTGACTAATGATCGTTCAAATGTAGAGATTTCATTTTAGATCACATAAACAATAAGCTTAAAACTTAAACTACTATGTAAGTAAAACTTAAAATCAACTATGAAACTGAAGCACAGTCAATACTTTAAAAATCAAGTTCAAGAACGAAAAGTAGTAAAGCTAAATAGTTTGTGGTATGGTGCTAACTGTCAATACAGAAGTACTAGTTAAGATACAATTGTAAGCACAATTTTGCAGGAAAACCAACTCCTATGTGGTGTAATCTAAGCTTCTTAAGAAACTGATCAAGCTATGAATCAAAAGCCAATTAGTTTATTTTCCAAAATTTTTATGGGAAGGCTCAACTAGTTGAATTGAAACCTGAGAATTGAGATGCTCAGTATGGGGGATAATTCATTCAGCCTAGTCATAACTTACTAATTAAGAATCAAGCTAAATCCAGTCTCAATTTCTCCAATATAGCATGACTTAAGGTAATAAAGCTCACTTCTTAAAAATCACCACCATCCAGCTTCGACAGTTCCATTATCCAAATATATCCTAACATTGATCATATGTTTCTTCATCAACAGAGTAACATCATAAACAGAACCGCCCAAATAAGTAAATTTAGAAGAAAAAAACCATTCTTTTTTCCCTACTACTATCAATATAGCAAAAGCAAAAGAAAAATTCCGAAAAATAAGACAAACCTTGCATGAGTGTCCAAGAATTTAGCATCATTAGAGGCAACCAACAAATCACAAGCAAGAGAAATCTCAAAACCAGCAGTCACAGCAAATCCCCCAATAGCCCCAATGATGGGCTTCCTACAGCGTTCCATTTGCGCCACCGGATCAGTCTCCACATCCTTCACGTCACCCTTAAACACGTCCTCCGCTGCCGTCAGGTCAACGCCCGAGCAGAACGATCGACCCGATCCGGTGAGTATAATGACCCGAACCGAATCATCCGCGTCCAAGGACTTGAAAATTCGAGCAAGATCAACCATCATTGACTTAGTCAGGGAATTTAGGGACTTGGGTCGGTTTAATGTGACCCATGCAACCCCGTCGGATTCCCGATTCACCAGTATCAGATTTTCCTGTGATGATTTCTCCATATTCTTGATTGTACTCTAAAAGTGTATGTGCGAATTGTATAATTAGTAACTCGTCCTAGGGTACATCCGTATATGAAGAAAGGGAAGATTTGCGGTGCACTTGATGGAATAATGTCATTGAAGTGTGTGCCATATTTGTTTAGGTCAGCTATATCCATTTATATCCATTTATAAATAGTTTATTGTAAAAATTATTCCATTCATGAAATATTACTAATATTAGCTGCAGTGGCGGAGCCAAAAATTTTATTAAGGGGTATCAAAATATATAAAAGTAAACATACCATGAAATTAAGGAGAGTCAATACAATATATATA